AGCAGGCCCATGAACCCGGCAACAATCACCGAGCTTGTGAACCAGGCATGCCCGCAAACCCCGGGCCCATGAACTAGGCCCGCCATGCACTTCATTGGCCCATGAATTAGGCTAGCCTGCAAACCTGTAATATGGACATTGGACATTATATTTGGATTATTAAAATTTGATTGTTTATATTATTTGTGCAGTAGAATTTTTTTAGGACTCTTGCATGGCGTATTTTGTTTTAGTTTGAATACGAATCGGAGTGTTTTTTTTATAAGGGTACTCTTAAAATTCTTCTACTTGTAATTTTAAATAAAAATTTTTAGGCTCACATAGTAACTCTAACGATCTAAGAAGTAAGCTCGGGACCGCCGAGAGTCAGCATAAGCATATTAATACTTTATCTTCCTTGTTAGGCACCTCCCCGCCTGCGGGTTCTGGCAGACCACTTGACCTATGAGGGTGCAGTTCTGTCAAGGGGAAGTTGTGCAATCTCTAGAAAAAAACCTATTTTTTAAGCCTAATTTTTAAACTGCTTCATATTCATTTTATGCATTTGAGTCAATTAGCATGTATTGTATTAGATACAAATTAAAAAAAGTTTAAAATATTAATTGCATTTCTAGACATTTTTCACCCTACATAAGTTTAGGGGCCAATTAAGAATTGTCTTAGATGTCGGCCCCTAATTCCTTAAAACTTAAATAAACATCTCTACCCATCTTTCATAAGAGACTGGACACAGGGTTTTAAGTGCCTAGGTGGTTAGCTGGCTCCCCAATCCAGGCCGGGATAAGTCCAGATTTGTACTTCATTAGTTAGGTTCGGGTCACTACTTTGTAGTACCCAAATTAGACTTAGGTTCTGAGGCAGGTTCTTTATAGATCTTAAGTCATCGCCCTCCGGGAATATAATCCTAAATTTCTAATAAAATGTCAACTTAAACATAAAATTTTCTCCTAAAATGTAAAGCCCAACATAGGATAGACTGAGGTCGCCTCTGAGTTTCTCAGAACTTGGCACCTCCTACTTTTCCTCCTCTGACTCGTTAATAAATGTTCAACATTGAGCTTTCTCCTTGAAAAATTCCTTATTTCTATTTCCTTGTCTTCTACTTTGTAGTCAAAAGGGTATGAAATCACTGCTTTAATCGAGAGTTTTCTTAGGAGTATCCCTCCTAGGATGTAATTAACTATAGGAGCTTACTCTTATAGGGATTTGAGAACCCCAGACTAAAATAAACCTTATTTATTCATACAAAATAAGGGAAGAATCTTTGGGAATGCAGATGTTTTTAAAAACTTCATTTCTAATCTTAAATATACTTATAGGATGTTATTATTATCTTTTCATATAATGTAATATCCGGTTTGTTATATTCAATTTTAGAAATGATGAATTCTATAAAACTCATTCTTATTTTTGGATGTCTTGAAGAATGTTATATTCGTCTTTTAAGATGATATAATATTCTTCTTGCTATATCTAAATAAAAGAATGGTAAAATTTTCAAAAAAGTTTATTTCTATTTTTAAACATATTCTTAAGAATTTCATGTTTATTTTTTGAAATAATATGTTATTCTCTGAACTGTATTTGATTATAGAAATATCAATTTTCAAAACCTTATTTTGATATTGAATCCATTATAGAATATTGTGTCAGTCATTCGAGATTGTACTTTATTTCTTAATGCAGTATTCGATTACAAAATAGGAGAAATCAAAATCTGCGTGGTGATACATAAATTTTCCCACCACCAGTAACAACCGCAAAGTCCCTAAGAATTTCATTTATGGTGTTGGCGTTATCCATGGTGGCTGTGCCAAATACTAAAAGATAATCAGCAAACATTAAATGTAAAACCTCATAATTCCCAGACTTGATACCATGGAAGGTGTTGTCGATAGTGGCTTGTTCAAATTTGGAAGAAAGCCCAGCCTTGCCTAATGCCAGAACTCGAATTAAAGTATCCCTCTAAAGCCCCATTGATACAAATAGATAAATGAACATTCGAGGTGCAGGCCTTTATCCAAGTGATAAAAATGCTGGGAAAACTCTTAATTTCAAGTCTTTCATAAAGGTAATCTCTAGAAACCATGTCAAAGGCCTTAGTGATATCAAATTTTGCACATAAGAATTTTTTATTGGCTTTAAGATTGAAACATCCAAGAATGTCGGCGGCCAAGAGAAAGTTGTCTGAAATGATTCTTTTGTGAATGAATCCACCTTGACTAGGATGAATAATGTGAGGCATCACTTTTTTCATTCTGTTAGCAATGATTTTTGCTATGATTTTATAGATGACATTACAGAGAGCTATTGGCCTATAATCTTTGACATTGCTGGCATGAGGCTTTTTTGGAATGAGTGCAATGGCAGTTGCTTTAGTCTGATTTGGCATGAAACCCGTGGAAAAGAAGGAAGAGACAACAGTACAGAGTTGGTGTTGAATAACACTCCAGGTTGATTTGTAAAAATCAAAAGTAAATCCATCAGGACCCGGTGCTGTGTTGGAATTACCAGTGAAAACAATGTTTTTGATTTCCTCAAATGTGACAGGGGCAATAAGCTCAGAGGTAAGATGCTGAGGAATGACTCTTCCCGCAGGAATATTCACAGCAGAGTGATTCGAAACCGTGGGAGCAGGAGTATTGAAGAGAGTTTTGTAATGGTTGATGAAGACATTAGGCATATCTTCTTTAGAATGAAAAGTGCCTTGTTCATTGGTAATCTCCTTTATTCTATAGTAGTTTTTGGTGATATTTATTTTTGAATAAAGGTACTTCAAATCATCTTTACCATGAGTGAGCCATTTTACCTTGGCACGTTGGGTCATCCAACTAGTAAGAGCTGAGTGAGAATGAGCTAGCTTATTGTTAATAAGATTGAGATTACTATTGAGCTGAGGATCAAGGGGATCTCTTTGAATTTGGCTGATGACATCTCTCTGACTGGCTTTTAGAGCCTCAATTTGAATTTGGAGACTGTTTGAATTGGTCCAGTGTTTGTGCTTCATAGAATTCTTAAGCAATTTCAATTTGAAATTGAAAGAGCTTAGAGGACTACTAGTGTTAGGAAGGGAAAAAGCCTCCAGCAGACAATCCCAAAACTCAGGAAGTTTGACACAGTAGTTTTTGAAAAGAAATCGATGTCCACATTTGACTTCCGTGGTATTCACCAAAATGAGAGGTGAATGATCTGAGCAATCCGGGTCAAGAACTTTATAGAAAGAGTTGGGAAAACTTAACAGACACTGATCATTGATAAGAACACGGTCTAGCTTGATATGGATGGGATTGTACGTGTTGTTGTTGATTGTACCAGGTGTAAAAGTGACCAACAGACAATAGTTCGTGCATCCCAGTGTTGAAAACAAGGCTGTTAAAATCACCTAGACGAGTGGTAGAAAGTGTTGTGCCACCTGCTTTGTCGCCAAGCTCACGGCAACTATTAAAGTCTCCCATAATAGCCCAAGGAGTATTGATATTCTGAGCTAATATTTGAATGTCATTCCATAGCATTTGTCTCTCTGATTGAATTCTCCCAAACTTCTGCAAACATAGAGCTTTGCTTCAGTGTGGTGACATCTCCAGTGACACAAGGCATCCTTTATTTCACTTTCCAAATAGAGAACAAATTGTCGTGACGTTGCCACTCCCAGCACCGTAGCACTCTAAGAGGCATTTTGGCTATTTAAAATTTTCTCTTTTCCATTCCAAATCTCAACTTATATTTAGGTTTAATCAAATCTGTAAGGCCTATAATAAATAACAAAATCAAATTTAAGCAAAAACACATTCAAAATCAAATCAATTACCTGGATTTTGGGATAGTGAATGTTACAATTATTGTCCTGAAAATTTTTCTTACGTACATCTAACTAAGCGCATGACATATTTCAATCACTTCTCTTTTATAATTTTGTAGTCAATTTAAGAGAGATAAAACAACAGATAAGTAAAAATATGAAAAATAAATCTTTATCTTTTTGTGCCTGAGATAAACTAAATATTTTCATGCTTGTCTAGCTGTAATTAAATATAAATATGTATATAATGTGAACTCTTCCAGGGAAAAAACATGCTAAAACTTTTGATATTCTTCTGGTTATCCTCCTTTACCACACTTAAAAGAAAAAGAAAGATTCGATTCTTCTATGATTTTCTTTATTACAGACTCTTTACTTCGATTCCCTACTTTGCTGATTAGTTTCTTTCTCATTTGCCTATTTGATTTGAAGGAATTAATAGATAGGAATCGAAATGGTGGGATTGGAAATCGCAAATGGAATTCTATTAGAATTTGTTTTCACCGCTTATTTGATTGCGAAGAAACTGAGTAAAATATTATTTTATGTTTTATTTCTTGTGGAGCTGTCGCCTGTTATTCAAGCCAAAAAATTTCGAGCATTTACTTAACGTTGAGTTAAAAAATATATATATATTCTCTTTGTTCACATTTCATGAAATATTTTAATTTTTTTGGACTTTCATTGTTATCAAATCCAAAGTTAGCTTAAAATATTCTTTACTTAATATGAACGGAATACTCCAACCAGGCGTTCATATTCCTATCATTCTTTTCTTAACTTACACAAATTTATAAATAAGCAAATAAATGTGCTAAAGCTATTTCAGAATGAAAAAAAGGAAGCTAAAGTTATTTCTAGAGATCCTGAGCTGCTTTTTCCATTTCCATGAGCCAATCAAAATCAGCTTGTCATGTTTAATTTATTCTATAGATTTTGAGTTGTTCCACACTAAGGGTTTCAATCAAAAAGGAATCTTAGAACTGCACGTCACACAAATAATGAATAAAATATTTAAATTTTAGAGGGAACAAAAGAGAACTCATTGAAAGACAAGCAATTATGAACCCTTTTCTCACTTCCTCGCCAATTTGCGTAACCCTTAACAAATCCCATATCTTTTGCAGCTATAAATTGAGCTACTTTGTCAGAGTAAAAGACACAATCGAATACTTGATTCAAAATGACAGTAGTTAATTGGATGGCGTTAATCTCCTTCCTTCTTTCAGTCACTATCACAACAAAAGTTCATGCAAGAGTCCTCGATGAACATCTTGCTCTTAATGATACCAAACTCTTTTCATTAAACTCCAACAGTGGCGGTGGTAGTGGCCATGGCTTTGGGGTTGGAGTTAGCCGACATGGGTCCGAGATTGACATTGGAATCGGTGGAGGTGCTGGTGGAGGCATTGGGACTACAAAAGGTGGAAATTTGAGCATCGGAGGAGGGGTTGGCGTTGGAGTTGGCATTGACATTAGAAGACATGGGGTCGATGTCGGCATCGGAGTGGGTGGTGGTGGCATGGTTAATGCAAAGAATGTGAGTGTTAGCGCCAGTGGTGGGGCTGGTGTTGGTGTTAGTATAGATCATGATGGCATGCATGTGAGCACCGCTAGAGGTGGTGGTGATGGTGTAGGGGACGGGATTGGAGTCGGAAGAGCTGGAGAAGCAGTGGGCCATGGCGTGGGATATGGAAGTGCTAATAGTGGCAGTGGATTTGGAAGTGGTGGAGGGGGTGGATCTGTCGAAGTTTCTAATGGCAATGGGAATAGTAATGGCAACGACTAAGACTGACCAACTATATTATCAAAAAGAGCCATGCTGCACTCTTAGTATACTTACGGATGATATGTTAAACCTAAGTAGTCCGTCATATATGTGAAAGTCAGCCAATATCAAATAATTTATGATTTATATCATAAAGATGTGAAAAATATGTTAATTATTGTGATTGTGCATGGAAGCTTATAATATATCTTATAAGGGTGTTTTTTTTGCCTATGTTATATATGTTGAGAGTGAAATTATAAAAAATATATATGTTTGTTAGGAAATAAGGATATATAAGTGCTCTATAAGCATCTTGACATAGCTGCTCTTGTCAAGCTGGATCAGAAAGTGGCATTCCCTTATGTTATATTATATTGCATTCCTATATTTCTTCTTCTTAGCCATGCTTTCTTTCTTGTAGTAAATTTAATTAATCTGTTATTTTGTTTTTCTGTAAGGAGTTGGGAATAAATACTACCCACTAAAAAGTATATACATGTTCTTCTTGATGCCAAAAGAATACAACCAGTCTTCACAAGGTTGGTATCGCTCAACTGTTAACCACACCAATAACATTAACACTAACGACTGTTTATACCAAATCAATGAATTGAGATAAATAATGTCTCCAACGACTTGATCCACTGGTGCGATCCAAGAACAATAAGGTTTTGTTTGAGATAGTTTTCATGTTGTTTTATTTTTCAGGTCTCAACTAGTCTTTATTTATGATAAAATTTGATGCTCGTTTCTCAACATTTCTAGAATAATCTATATAGTAATGACCATTATCATTAGCATGATGTTTTGACCTAACATTGAGCCCTTTGTGGACCTTAGTTGACTATGGTGCCACCTAAACCCTAAAACCACAAAACCTTAAAATTGATTTTCCCTTGAACCTTAGCACGGATCTGTAAAACCAAACCTTGAAACCTCCTCCAAAATATCTCAAATATGATTTGAAGTGCATTGCACCCATTTCTAATACATGGTCAAACCTTGTTGACCAAGTCAACCTAAGTTGACTAAAGGACCGCTTAAGCCCTAAAACATGCATATTGAACCAAATGCTTTCCTCATTGCATGGGACCACCTCTAACTAATCCATAATATCATATGGAATGAGTTGGACCAAATATTGAGCCTTGGTCAAACTTGGTTGACCAAGTCAACCATAGTTAACCAAAGCACACCATATGCACTTCAAAATCTCAAAATTCATGATTTTGACCAAGCCATTGAACAAAACTCTAGGGGACAGTTAATTAGATCCCCACGAGTCACCTAAAAAATTCCAGCCCTTAGTCCCACCTAACCTAGCCAATTGTGTTGAACCAAGTGCACTTAAAAAAGTTTTTTGTGAACCAAAATCCAACCCTTATCAAATTAAATTCCAAAAATTATTGTTGTAGGTGTCTTTTGACCCCATGTACATGGCCTAACAAGCCTAACCAATAGTATACCTGGGTCAACCAATTGGGTTGAACCAAGCCCCCGAAAACCAAATTTATTTGACCCATTGATGATCCAACCCAAATTGAACCTATCCACAACTTGAATTGGGTTCTATAATGTTCATTGCACATGCCGGCCCTAGCCACCTTAAGCCACATGAGTTGTTGATATGAAATGATTCCTTGAAACAACCTCTATCCAATCATTGGTACATTTATAACTGAATGGACACCTATCCCAATGTGTGCAAACATTCTCGAACCTTCCCCTAGATCTTATTGGTTAATCCATAACTAAATTGGTGGCTAGCTAGTGCATAGGTGGAAAGATCCCAGCCCTCCTTTCAAATTTATCTCTCCTATAAATATCCACCAAAATTCTAAAGCAATGGTTGATCATCTAGATTCCCTAGCTTAATAGCAAGTCCCTCAGGTCCCTCAAAGCCTTCCCCACCCTTCTTGATCTCTAGGAAAACCCAATTGGGAAGAGAGAGAAGGAAAGAGAGAAGAAAAAATAGTTCATAATTAACTCCCAATCCAATAGAAATCAATGCTTGTGGTCTTCAATAAAGTTGTAGAGGACCTCTCCAAGAGTTCATAAAGCCAAAAATCAAGCAAATCCATCAATTAAGTAGAGGTATTTTGCATTTGAAGCTTTAAAATATAATTTTTAACTACCTAAAGATTTTAATGCATAGAGCCCTCAAACTCCAAAAATTGGAAGTTTAGGGCACCATCAGTCTATATTTCAAATTTCATCAAATTAGGATGACTAGATTAAAAGTTATGAGCATTTGAATTCAAGTTAATTTGAACTAGAAATTCTAGCACAATCTAGATCATGCCATCGCGTGTGTATCATGATCGAATGACCATGATCAAGTCAGATGGAATCGCGTATTTGGCTGGATTCAAACATGTATTATGTGCATCTTGGGCGGGCGATGAGGCTCAATCCCGTTCATCAGCTCTTTGGACATGTCGCCTGATGGCCACTAAGCCAATCCAACCTGGATTAGTCACCAACCATAGCGTACTGCACATCTTAAGGTCGCCGCCATATGTTCCAATGATTGAAAACATGTTTTCTAGGATTGGCCGATGTAATTTTAAATTAAAATGGTTTTAAAAACTCCAAAAATTCTCATAAACTTGAATACTTTATTATAAATCTATTTCTCACCCAAATTTATTGTTATTGAGCTCATTAGAATCATCTTGGCCCAATTTCATTTTAAAATTACTTTCAATTCATTTGGACTAATGGATTTTTAGTAATTTGATGTTGATTAATTTTTTTTTTTTTAATTACTCATCACCTAGTGCTCCAATTGAGCTCAAAGGTGTGTATGCCACCTACCATAATTTTCTTGGATCTTGATTGTATTTGGATTTTGATAAATTGAATTTGCAAAGTTATGTGTTAAGATTTGACCCATAAGTTTAAAAAATCATAACACTCCATCTGCAAAGTATTTCAATTTGATTTTCCTGTAGTGTGTTTATGTATATGCAATGGTTAAAATGTCATTGATTTCACCCATATCCAATATGTAGAACTTATGAATTAAATCACAAAAGGTATATATGCACTTATCTTTGATGATTGATTCTGACACCTGGGGGGATTTTAATGAACTCAAAGTGGGTTTGATGCACATGTTCTGATGAACCTATGATTCAAATTTCATTGCATTTGGAGTTCATTTGATTTGTCAATTAGTGAACCCAAAATTAATTTACATAATTAACCTAGGTATTTCAAAAATTCATAATATATCCAAATTAAATCCAAAAATTAAATACTAATCATCATATTGCTCAAAATTAAAATCTTAACGTATGAAAAATAAAAGCCCCTTGAAATTCACTCAATATAGAATTTAATTTAAAAATTAAGAAAATTTAATAATTAATTAAAATAAATAATTTAATAATATAATAAAAATTAAATTAATTTTAAACACTTATAATCATCCTTAGGAGTCATCTTTGACATTTGGGAAAGATTTTAAGAGATTTGGAGTTAATATGGTACAAAAATTTGAAACTCTTTAATTAACTCATTAGAATAGTTAACATTGCAAAAATCATAACTAATTATAGAAAACTCCAAATCACACAAACTTAAAGGCATTGGACTTATATCTAGGTCTAATATTTATGGAAAGTATAAAACCTTCACAAATCATTGTAAATAAAAATGTCAATATTTAGTCAAAAATATTTCCTTAAAATGGGATTAACTTGTAAAATTTATAGTTAATTATAGAAAATCTTAAATCACAAAAAAAAAAAAAGAATTGGACTCATCTCTGGGTCTAATATTTATGAAAAATAATAAATTTCTAGAAATCAATGTAAAGAAGAAATTTAATAGTTGGTCAAATCTAATTAAATAAATAAATCAATCATTATAAAAATTCAATAAATCACAAAAACTTAGTAAATGTGTAACTTAATGAATTAAATTAAATAAGGAACATTTATACTATATAAATAAAGTTTTAGGCTGGACTACCTCAGGCTGCGTGACTACGTGTCCTAAGGAGATCTTAGTCCTCATGCTCGTTGTTCAAATGCCATGAAAGAATTTGACATAATATAAGTAAGAAATTTTAAACCTTAATAATTAGTAATTAATGAATTAAAATTAATAATTAACCAACACTCTGTTAATAAAGTTTTTAGTCTAGACTAACTCGGGCAGCGGTGCTATGTGTCCTAAGGAGGCCTTAGTCCATATATCTGTTATGACAATGTCATGAATAAATTGATAGATTATAAATATTAAATTATAAATTTAATGAATCAATAATTAATAAATTATATTAATTAAAAAATCATTAATAAAATACTAAGACATATAAGCTTTCATACCCTTATGGTTGACTCATTTTAGAAGGCAAAGGTGTATTGAATTGGAAAGCTTTAAGGACTAAAATACTTAATTATAATGAAGAACTATATGAAACCTATCTACCCCATTTTTCAGAGGATTGCTAGTATTACAAATATGAACCTAGAACTTAATTATTAATATCTTTTTCACTTAGAAGTTATTAAGTATTATGTTTTATATAACTTAAAGTTAAACAACTCATACAACCAAAACACCCCTCAAAATAAATTTAAAACTTCTAAATCATTTAAACTTGAATTCAAACAACCCTTCAATGAACTTAAACAAACCAATTCAATTGTAGATAACTTTAAACTAATAAAACCTAGAACCTAAATCATTTAAACTATTTTTCAAGACAACCAACTCTAGGCTAAGCTTGGCTGGTTGTTTGGTTTTGTTTGTTTGGAGTGTCTTGCCTAGAGGTCACTCATGTTTGTTTATTAACTACTTGATTCTAGATAAAGCCCATCAACTCACTCTTGTAAAGTGTAAGTCCATATTATATACAACTCTTAGTCTCCATATATTCTTTCCATTCTATTTAAAATCTAAAATCTAAATCTAAATTCTAAATTCAACTTAAGAATTTATAATCTAAAGCTTGTGCATTGATATCTTAATATAAATTTGAAAATCTTTAGCCTTCACTTTAATTA